TGTAGCACGCAATAACTTCATCAACAATTCAACCCCCCTTTGCCATGTACACTTACCAAGAAGTCACATGCTGACAAGAGCGCAACTGATGGAAGGGTCATTAGTGATGTAAGTCGCAGTTTCTCGAGTTTGGATTTTGGTCGAGAGGGTGAGCCACTTTCACATGATTGACAACAACTCACTACTAAGATTCACACAAATAGAGATTAGATATAGTTGCAATTAACGGTCATATAGCGTCTATAAATTTGAAATGCTTCTATTGAGTAGTGAAAACTCTAAATAACAAGTTTTTTCGTGCCGAACTTTATTTCTTGGTACGCCGGTTGGACAATACTAAGAAATTAACTACCATCACAATAAGTCTCGAGGGTAAGGCCCAGTGAAGATTTAAACAGACAAATGAATAAGAGCCCCTTAAGGACTGGAAGGACCATGCCAACTAGCTAATGACCCCACCGTAAAGCGAAATCAGTGTGGTAGTCCAGCCTTGACACCACGCGCCCATCTTCAGCCTTGGGAGTAGTGAACCCAGTGATCACGGCAGGGGAGGATACATCCCTCCTTCAACTGGAGATTCCTATCTTCTCAAGTGAAGACCTCGCCCAGTGGTCATACCAAGTTATGTCCTACTTCAAAACGAACCACGCTTAAAAGGACCACTGAATCCAAATAGTTGTGATGAAGATGAAAACCGATACACTCTTACGGTATGTGTGGATAGTGAAATAGCGCCCTTTTCGTGACTGATTGGATTTTTGAACTCAACTCTTGACTCACTTTGATCACCCCTATCTTAGGGACTTTTACCACGAACTTTTCAACCTAAAACAGTATGGCATAGTGCCTGAAGTTTGTCGGGAGTTCGAGGCGACTGCTCAATGGTTATACTCAACTCCATTCCTATCGAGACTACTTACTGGTGTGCATACTATGGGGGGCTATGCTCAATGGTTTGAAAGCATAAATTGTTGTGGAAATCGAGATTTTCAAGATAACTAGATTGAAAGAAACATTAGAATTAGCCTGGGTGACAGAGAGTTGGTTTATACACCTATGGTCAATGTGAAACTTGAAGCGCATTAAATTACCGACCATAGTGCAGTTGGGGTTCGGGGCATTGGCAGTAGTAGCAAGAGATGATTGAGGCTTACTGATGCAAAATTGCAAGATCGCAAGTCAAGAGAGATATGTTTTCACTGTGGTAAAAATTTTAGCCCATGTCATCACTGCAAATAAGCAAGTAGCAAGCTAGTGAAAACAACACTTGGCGGGACTACTAAGATGGTCTCCTTATCACAAGTTTAGGTCTCTCTCCTAAAATAAAGCTATGTATTGACTTCTCACATGCTAAAGATGAGAGGTATTGTACCCAATAGGGAAATGTCTCTATTGGCAGACCCTAGGGTTACCAATTTTTAGTTCAACAACAATCGCCTAAGAACTTAAACTACTTGTGGATGAGACATTTGTTGATGCCCTTGGCTTCGACGCCGCTAGCTCAGCCGGTAGTGATGGCAGCAGTAGCTGGTGCCAGATCCGTCTTCAAGTGAAAGAGATAGTTGAAGAGATACTAACTGTTTGACTCATTTTGGATCTAATTCAGATGGAAGATGGCTCGCATATGAGCCTTCTCTTCTTGCAATCCTCGAGCGCATATTCTTCCCAATCGTTCTTCACAGTCTCTGTAGATGTCACAACATATTGTTCACTGCTACCACCTTTTGTCCCTGGACTTTGCACCACAATCTCTTCTTTTATAGACAGATTGCTACTCGAATAGTTCATGTCATTAAAACCAAATTCCAATTCTCTTCTCTTTGTCCTTCCGATAGAATTTCCTTCAGCACGAGAAAAAGAGTACCGTATTTCTTCTTTATGATTTAACTCACGAGATCCCCAAGACGGTACCAATCCTAAATATCTAAGCTCATGTTCCCGAGATAAATGACAGATAAATCCAAGTGTGCGGATGAATCATTTGATGAACGCTGGTAAGCTCCTGTCCTTACAGGATTCTCTGGCTCATTAAGGAGATAATCAAGCCCAGAAGGTTTCTCCTCAATAATAAAACTCCCATAGGAAGCTCGTTGATGATGTTTTCTCCACTTTTGGTATCGGCATCCTTTTGGATCTCATACATGAGCAAGAACCATAATCCCCATAGGCATGTAATGTCCTAGGAACACGGGTTTTAGGAGGAAGAAATGACTGTTTTCTACCTTCATCCCACATTTCTAAAGTTAGCACTCATTTTGTATTTCCTATACCTAAAGGGCTACAACAACATGTTGAAAAAATAAGAAGGCTGAATTGACAAAGAGTCATACGATGGAAATGATGGGCATGACCTGGAGAGTCCGCCCAAATACGTAAAAGTATGCATGAAAGAAGTAAAAGATAAATAGAGATATTCACAAAAAATTGTAGACAAAAAGTGAGGGCTCGGATATTCAGAGAGTCGATCTTGTAAATCCAAGTTATAGAAAATACTCTACAAAGAAAAAATTGAAAGGCCCCCACTGAAGTGAATCCTCACTCAAAAGTTAAAAGAACGTGAGAATAAAAAGAGAAGAGTTGGAAAATGAAAGGAATGAAAGAAATGAGAAAGTAGGTACTGAATCTCCACTAAACTTAAAAAGCCATAAAAATGAGAAAATATCAAATTAAAAGAAATAACCACAATTAACTGAATAGACAAAATTCATCCAAAGACATCACAAGATTTTCAGGGAACTAGAATAAAGCGAGGGGAATGAAAAAAATGCCAGACTTCCAACAAATGGGACAGAGAATATTTTCGATAGATCAATAACCCAAACAAGAAGAAACAAAAGAAAACTCAACTAGGATGGGTATCGAGTCTATCACCGAAAGAACTGAAAAATAAGATGAATGTAATTCAATCCTTATCTCAACAATAACAAAACAATTGTTCCGAGATGTAGAGCTTCTCATCACTATACCAAACATAGAAAGAATGCAAAAAGTTAGAGGTCTGCAATCTTACAGTCTATTATGGGGTAACTTCTGGAACACATTGACGGTTATCATGATTTTTCTTTCTTATGTGCGCTAGTTATAATGTTTTTATCAATTCAGTGGTATTTATGCAATAAAACGTGTTTACGATCGTAAACTCTTTGCTCCAACTTTTGATGGAAATAAAGATGTGAACCAGAGGAGAGAATACTGCCACGATTGCCGTTGTAAGAGGTCTAAATCAACTCTATGTAGGCACCCAGCAACCGCATTTGCAGAATGATTAGGCATCCGTCCAATAGTCACTGAGTCGATATAAAATGCGAAAAAGTGACCAAATTTAATTATAATGAACGTAAAAAGAAAAATTAGCAACACCAAGAATATATAAATAAATAAACAAGCGTACGAGAGTTCTCAATCTTAATGAGAGTTCTTACGAGGAGGCATTCCCTACCTGCCTCTGGAGATTCGCCTCCCTTAGCCTGGCCTCAATTTCCTCCGCGCTTGTGGGGGCATGATGGGACCCTCTTACTCCGAGGGAAACGTTCTTGGGATTTGAGAAGGGACGGAGAAACGCGACATGTGAAACGACTCGATAGGATCGCATAAGAGTACTTCTCCCTGTGCCTCTTTTCCTCTGCCGCCTTGGCACCCTGGACAGAGTTGACTTCAATGTAGTTGCCAAATCCCTCGCTTGGAACTCGAAGGCCAGTAGGTCTCCCACCCTCTAGCCAGTCGAAGCCTAGTAGGGAACTCACATCACTCATAAGAGCCTAGCCTCTCCCTAGCGCTAAGCGACTTCGAAGAAACACGAATAAGCTAAAATGGTCCTTCAAGGTGAGATGCTATTCTCACTTAAGCTCAAGAAAATTAACTTCTATTCTAAACCAGGGGGAAGGGAGGAATACACTGGACTAGCTGATCTCAACACCTCTGTTCATCTGGGTTGAAACCAACCCCTATTTACAGGGGAGAGACCGAGGCGACCCCTTACTAAATCAGATAGGGTGACTAATGGGCATCTAGACTAGCCTAATGGGCTGGGGTGACCCACCAGCTACTACCCCACCTTATTTATAGATGTCGCAAGTCTCGGGGGTAAGCAGGTCAATTCGGAGGACGTTGAAGGCCCGTTATAAAACGAGAGTTTGGGGAAGGGTTGGGGTTAAGAGAACCTTGGGAGTTCTACGTCAAGTGGAAGAGCGGGGAAGATCCTCTCGAACTGATCTTCTGTGGACTTTTATGGGGAGCTTCCGCGGAGGAACGGGAAAAATGAGCTCAGTGAAGGGGCCCACCTCGCCTCCGCCTTAAGTCGTCGAACCTCCGCGCTGACCGTTCGCTTTCTCAGTAGCGAAAGCGCTTCTCGGATGATATTGTTCAGAGTGTGGGAATCTCATTATGCCCCTGGTTATCGTTTGGTCCGTTCGGTTTTACCTCGGCTTATCTTAAGTTCTTTCCTTAGTACCTGCTATGCTCGTGCTCTGCTCGTCCTTAGCAGTTAAAACTTAATATTATATAACGAGTTTGACGTGGATATAAAAATGAATGTATACTTTAAGCAAAATAACTTCTCTAAATCATATTTTTTCAGCTCCAAATCTAGAAATAATTACCAACATTTCGTTCTTGTCGTCCTACTACTGTTGACTGAAAGAGACAATGTAAGTACCACGCCATGTTCTTGCACGAGGGTCATTGATGATCAAAATCTTTGTATTAGACTAGTAGTTTTGTGAGTATGTTGTTTTATGAATAAATTCATTAAAGTATCTTTATTTAAACTTTTTTTGTAGTAACTGTAGTCTACACAAAGCATTCATTGAATCAGTAGGTTGATCATTGTCTGAGAAATGAACAAAGGCAATCGCAAGAGTACGAAGTTGAACGTCTAAAAGTCGCACATCTTCTTCAATCCACACCATTTCCTGCATGCATACCTCGGGCAATAAAGAGGCCGATGGCGGGAGAGAGAGAGAGAGAGCGCGCAAAGAGAGATGTTGGGGAAAATAAGAGAACTAACGGCGTTCGATTTGCATGGTGATATCCAGGATGCCGTATTCCTTCCGTATGTACTCCACAACCTTGCAAAGCACATCATCAGCATCAGCCTCTAGGGTTACGCTGGCATAGCACGTGAGAATCACCTTCCCCAAGGTGATCGCCCACACGTGTACCTCATGGATGGAAACCACACCATCCAGCTCACACAGGCCTTTCTTGAGCCTCTTCACGTCGATCTCCTCAGGGGATGACTCCATGAGAACATCAACTATTTTCTTCACCAGCTTCAGAGTTCACAAGAGCGACCGAAGAGAAGGCGAGCGTACATACAGGATCGATAATCTTCCATTCAGGTTTGCACCACACGAACGCCCCGGCAATCATCACTCCGACAGTCAAGATCGACTCTCCAGGCGCATGGAGGTAGCCACTGCCTGCGTTGACGTTCCTCACTTCCGCATGCTTTACAAGGGGTTCCTCTGCATCGCCGCTCCCATGGCTCCTAATGGGTTTGAGGTCATCAGTGAGATGACGGCCATGGCCCTCGTGACTCAGAAGAGCTGCAACGAGGGAGTTGGCTACGAGTCTGAAGGCAGAAACAGAGAACATTAGGAAGCCTTCTACCTCTCCTCTGTAGTTTATGATTCTATCAATGGCTTCATAAAGGAGAACACCTGATAGCAGCCATGCTAACTGTACAGAAAACATAGCTCCCAAGATCTCCATTCGGAAGTATCTGTAGGATAGACGAGGTTTGGCGGTCCATCCAGCTGCCTGGAGAACGATAAGAGAGATGGCATATGCCGCGACGTTTGAGAGAAGACGACAGCGAGGCTGTTGGCTATGATGCCACCGTAAACTTCAATGCACATGAAGGTGGTGGAGAGAATGACGGCTATCATCAGTCTTTTCGTGGAAGCTGATCTCTCCGGCATGTTGGAAACTGGGGCTAGAATGGGAGAATTTGCAGGGAGATCTGGCGCAGGCCAGTCTTTTCCACGATGCGCTGGGCTGACCGGGGCACTAGGGTCTGGGGATTCTTCATCTCCATCGCAGGTTGAGTTTGACAGAAAGGAACGATAGGAAGGGAGAACAACGTTGGGAAAGCAGCAACAGGAACAGAGATCCGGTATTCTTGAAGGAGAGAGAGAGAAAGAGAGGAAGGAGGGAAGGCGCGGGGGAGTGAGTCTACTGCACACTGTTTATGGAGAAGCTCAATGTACTAAGATATAGATAGGGTGCCAGCCTGGTGGCTGCCGGCAAAGAGATTCCCTCATGGTCACTGATGGTCCTAAATCGCTGAGATTAAGGTTGATCAAAAATAATAATGTATAGACTGAATTTTCAACAAGATAGTTAACATGTATAGTGGAAAATTCAGGTTGATGCACATGGATTTGTCTAATCGAGGATGATTCTAATGAAGAGATCTATTGGCTGAGACTGGGGAAGAATTAGGTTAAAGAGATTGAAGAGAGTTAACTTTGGAAAACAAGAGGGAGATTACATGACTCTCACCTTGATGATTTTTCAATCACCAAGGGAGGGATAATATGATAGAAAATATAATAATCTCAAAATGAAGTGAGTGATTATCTAAATAAAGATAAAAACAATTTATTCCTACTCTCTACCTAATGTGTCTCTCTCTTCTCTATCCTAATCTCTTGGTCAACTTTGATGAATCAAAGGGTCAAAAGAGGGTTAGGAGATATGACATAAGTTTAAAAGTAATTCTACTATGGTCCCTTACCCTAAGTCAATTGTGTGTCACTCACAAGGTCAATAGGATCAGGAACCCTAACTACTATTCTAAATCTAAGATGCCTCCTCTTCACTCTACTTTGCATTGTGGTCAACCTTGGTGGTTCAAGGGTTCAAAGAAGACTCAAAGATGACAAAATGAAGGTGGAAGAGATGATCGCTCCTCTTAGGTCAACCTATTATCCTCCTAGGGATCAATAGAAGAAGGTGATCATATTATTCCTTTCTTGAATCACTTGGTCTTACTATGAGATTTCATAAGATTAGAAAATATCATATAATGAAATCTCATTCATCAAAATAAAAGGAATCACATCATGAACAAGCCAAATACAACAAAATGCTTTCTATATGATGTTTGGAATGCTCAAACGGATTATTCCTAGAGTTTTTGGAATGACTCAAGGATGAAGTTCTTGGAGATCTCCTCTCCTGTCTCTTGAGTGTCCCTCTCCAATGCAATGAATGTCATCTCTCTCTTCAAATGAGATATTTATGTAGATCTTAACCTTTGATGCTCATCAAGATGATACATAACCCATTGATTAACCCCAGCCGCCCTAGAGAGGTAGGAAGTGAGAGGCGCCTCCTGAGGTTGTGGGGGCTTCAATGCCTTGATTTAATTATATCCCTTGATGTTGAATGGTTGGGATTGTGTCTTGGGGGCTTGATCATGGTAGGGGCGTCATGGTTGATCAGGTGGTGCCACATACCCCTCCCCTAATTAAGGAATGAACCGCCCATCTTAAGTGGGCGGTTTCCTTTATTTGATGTGGAGGGGGGATGCCTCCTTACTTCTTAGTGGGCCTCCTCCTTAAATAACATGGACTGTCCAGCTGACCCATAGGCCAATATGACCTGAAACATAATACTAAATAAAATCCATTATCCTTTAAATATAAAAAATTAAGCATAAAAGGGAAAATCAACATGGTACATAAAAGGGTAAATTTAGACTCATTTATATGTGGGTTGCCTTAGGACTTAGGAGATACATAATAAATCGTACAAATCATATGGATTATGATTTATAATTAGACAAGTCATTGATATTAAAACTGAAAATCTGAATTGAGAAAATAAATAATCATTAAAAATAAATGATTTCATTATAAGTTCACAAAATTGGTTTCTTATGTGTTAAATTCAATCATCCATAAAAAATGCATAATCCATGAAATAAATGTAATAACATGCTAATTATGATACTATAAACATCTAAAATATGCATAATAACCCATATAAATTAATAGAAGTAGTATGTTATCAGTCACCCACGGCTTCTCCCTCCTTCTGATGGCCCCACCCTTTGGTTGAACACTTGTGAAATGCCTTCCCTATGAGAGGAAAACATTGCTTCAGAAGGACAACCAGATGCCGAGTGGGTTGGGGCAACGAGAAAGAGAAGGGAAAGCTTTAAGGACGATGGTTTCTTATGGATCTGGGTTCTGATGACGACCTAGGCTTCCAAGCTTGAACCCAGCTCTATATGATTTACACCTGATTCAGAATGCTATTTAAAATAATGTATTTTTTGAACTGAACAAAATGAGGTAGACAAAATTACAATAACATATTCCATGGGGAAGAGCATGAATATATGCTCTATATATTTGATTTAACATCAGAAAGTATGTTCCTTGTCTGTAGAAGGGGATAAGCCCTAGATGATGGTCCGGCGGTTTTGATGCAGTTCCATTCATGAAAGTTTGTCACATCAGTCAAGATTTGTCAATTGAAATCTTACTTGATTTTGTCGTAAATTTTATTTTCTTGGCCTGGGGCCATAATGATAGTTCCACTTGTCCACTCGGTATCACTTTCTGCATTGACTTGACTCATTGACCACTCGTAGAAATGGCTCGTTCTTAGGCTGGACAAGATTTCCCAAAATAGAGGTTCGACTTTAATTAAGACTGAACGTAGGAAAGGATCTACGCAATAGATGATGAGAAAGCATGACTCGACCAGCAGCCGTATGTCCGAGGGTCGTTGATAGATCTTTAAATTGGGCGGTAGAAGGGACCCTATGAAAGCTCAAGCCAGGCCCCAACCTTGATCCCCATAGGGATGGGTGGTGCATTTAATTTGAAGCTTCTCCTGACCATTTTATATTAGTACATGTAATTCCGATTGTATTACCTCATTAACATGTTAACCTTTCAAATTTTAAGACTAGGGCCTTGAAAACTGCGTTGGTTTGAAGCATTCATCGTTATCCATATTTTGTACAGTGATTCAAGGAGTTTATTGTGTGGAATTGAAGATGGAAGAAAGGTGGGTATCTTTTCATGATTCTGATCTATCAATCTGAGTGAAAGGCACTCTTCGTTGTCTGACTAGCCTGAAGTAAATTTAGCCAACAGAATGAATGCATGTGAAATTTAGGTCATGCATGGGGTAAGCCCTAGAAAGTCTTGTGTTTTTTTCTGAACGAACTTAGCCTGAGAAAAAGGCCCGAAAAAGAACCCATGCCCGCATTCGATGGGTTCTCCAAACTTTATCAAGGTCTTATTTTTCTGTCTTAAGATTGGAAAATGTTGATTTGACTAGATAGGACAAATAATCTCCACCGAAGATCTTAGTCCAGACTTCATCGAACAGCCCCGGACGAATGCAGGGCCGCGCAACTCTCCGGACCCTGCATCGCCCATTATAAAAGAGTCACGTAACGTATATCTATTATTTATGTTTATATTAGGCTATATCAGCAATGAAGAGTCGATGAGGCTGGAGAATGGATGACATACACGGGGTGTGGTGCTTTAATGTGGGATGAAATGTGCTGGAGATCTAATGGCGGATGGTGGCGGCTCGAGCCAGGTCCACAGTGACGCAAATGTGGGCCACACTAAACCCGATATTTCTGTTCATTGTGCGCATACAGAGTAACTCGAACAGAAGCAGCCTATAAATACGGTCCCAGACATTGAGCTCTACATTGTGCTCATTGATCAACTCTTGATCAACTCTTGAACGCCCGTCTTTAAGTTCCTTCCCTTCCTCCACACTCTTTGGCCATGGCTGTGACACACCCCTCCGCTACCCTAGTGGTGGCGATCATTGTACTCCTGGCTTGCACGGTAACCCCGGCAGCAGCGAGCTACATGACGGTGTGGCAGGGGCCAGGTTGTAACAACCATGCTGAGAGGTATAGCGTTTGCGGCTGCTCCACCATTAATCTTCGCGGCGGCTACGAGTTCGTCTACCAGGGGCAGACGGCTGCCGTCTACAACCAGCGAGGCTGCGTCGGGGTCGCCAGCTTTCGATTCAGAGGAAGCGCCCGTGGCTGCACTCCATTCGGCTGGCAGAGCATCTTTATTCAGTGCTAAGAACTCATGTTGGGGGGCTATTTGCACCAGTAATTTACTGAAACTAAATAAGCTGAGTGCATTCGTGGGTGTTAGATATAGTGATTGCTGTGTTTATGGGCTTGCCATATCCTGGTTTTTTAGCTTGCCATGTCTTGGTCCTTACAATATTTATGGGCTTGTCTTATTTTAGTCCTTGTCATTTTCTGGTCATTGTAACAATATTATAAGGACTATAAAGATTGTACCGAGGCCTGGTGGTGTGTGGCCTTTTGTCCTTTCTCCCTCTATTATCCTCCTTTATTTCCCCTTTCTCTCCCCCTTGTTAATATGGTACCGCCACCTTGTTACCCTCTCTATTTTGTTAACATAGTATTATAAAATTAGAAAATATAAATTTTAAATTTTTTAGAAATATTTTAGAAAAATAAATCAATTACAATTAAATAAGAGGTTCAAAAAATAGTGAGTAATTTTAAAGTCGATCACATAGATGTAATATACTATTGGCTAATATTTTACTTTTTTGTAAAAAATATATTTTATATAATTTTATACTAAATAATAAAGATAAAATATATTTAAAATTTACGAAAAAAGGAAATAAGGGTGTGGACATCAAGATGATGCCAACGGCAGGACAAACATAAATCAGGCAAAAATAGAGTTTCGTTCACTAAGTCTTATTTAAGTGATTACAAATGATTCAATTGATCAAATTAAGATATATAAAAGTCAAAATTTTGTAGATTTCTAATGATTGTCACCTAATGAAGATGAGTTAGATGGAGGTTGGTAACGTCTTAAAAAGCTTCATATTCAAGTATGTGCACCAAAAGAAGGCTCTTCATCGCATATGATATATTATCAGGAGGTGACAACTCATCTTTTGACAGATTGTACTCTTCTCGAAGATGACTTGTTCATTGATGAATTAGAGATAATTTATTTAATGTATTTGATATATTTTTATTTAAAATTATTCAATAATTTTAGTAGTAATGATCTATGAGTCGTGTTGACAATATTTTCGTCAATAATTGAGCAATTCTGCTAGTTTAATTATTGACAAGCAATTTATAAAAAAATCATGATTTAATTAGATAAAATATGAGTTTTTACACTAGTGAGATCCAAACCCTCGTCTATTACCCACTTGTATGAGAGAGTATGAAATAATTACGTGATTACCCTTATATTTTAGGTATTAGATAAAGAGTATTTTAGATATTAAAATCATTGAAAACCTTCTTGAAAACTATGACATCAATTTAGTTTCACATCGATTATTTTTTAAGTTTTAAGACAGATATATAATAATACAAGATTTTATGATTAATAATCTTCTCTCTCGCATGTGTATGACCACTCATTGTCTCATGCTCAATAGGCTACTAACGATGTAGAAGGAGAGTGACGCACACATGTCCCTTACCTATCTTTAGCCACTTGAGCCCCTTGCTCGTGGCTCTACCTGAATCTACTTCCAACCTACTTGTAGGCCTTGTTAGCCGACGAGTCCTCTCCTTTTTTATATATTTTTATTTTATTTTATTTCTCTTTATTTATCTCAAAAATATGAATATAAAAATTATATAAATTCACATAAAATCACATAATTAGCCAAATTTTTACATTAACTAACTAAACATTACTTTTCACAATTTAACTTAAATATAATTCTATTTATCATGAATTAAGACTTAAGATATATTATTAATTAATTATTAACTCATAATAATAAAAACTTATATGTAACCTTTCATCATTTCTCATTCTATTATCCTCTTTTATCTCTTCTTTCTCTCCCCCTTGCTAATATGGTATTACCACCTCGTTCCCCTCTCTATTTTGTTAACATGATATTAGTGGTAACTCATCATCCCCTCTTTATATCAAAGTTAGTGCTTTGTCTTGTCTGTCTTAATCAAAGGATTCCTCTATCCTCACCCCACTACCTCTTTTCTCTCTTCATCCTTGAGAGCTGGTGCTTAGTTGGCTTCTTGTTCGTTCTATTGTTGATCCCTTCGTCCTCAGCCCACCATCCTCTCTCCTCTCTCATCATCCTTTGTAACTAATGTCTCTCTCTCTCTCTTGATGTCTAGTTGTATTGTTCATCCTAAATCTTCTTGGTCTTCTTGGTCCTCATTGGATCTTGTTTCCCTTTTTTTAACTTTAGTTGATGCCTAGCTGGTCATGTTGGTCATCAATAGAATCTTTGTTGGTCCTCATTGGTTCTTGTTCATATGATTGATTTTTTGTTGGATCCTATTTATCTTGTTGGTGCTCATCAGTTATTGGTTTTCTTGTTGTTGATTATTGGATCTTATTTGTCTCATGGTGCTTATCTAATCTTGTTTGTCTTGTTGGACCTCATTAGAACCTCTTGGTTCTCATAGGATCTTCTTCATCTCACTCCATTTTTATCTCTTTTGGTCACTTGACTCACACTTTCTTGGTTGTTGGCTCTACTAACTAAAGCTCATATTAGGTAAAGGATAACTCAATAATATTTCAGAATTTATGAATGTGTACCTTATGTAAAATCACTTTTATTTTTGAAATCATAAAATTCATAACATGAAGTATTAAAATGATTAGACATAGATGTTTTAAACAAGATCAAAAAAAATTGATGATGAATATACACATTGAAGTTGATTTAGTTGTGGCACTAAGTTGTAGAAAGATTAAATTGACAATTTTGACTATGAGATATATGTTGTTATTAGGGGCAGAAACATAAGAATGTATGAGTGTGAATGTACGAAGAAATCTATGAAAAAAAATCTATTATCATCATATGTGCGAGCCTTAATATTTAAATTTTACATATCAAACATATTAACTAATTTAGGCATATTAGTAATCATAATAAAACACTTTGAATGATGAGTCAATATAATAAAAATAATTTTAAATTATTAAGATACTAAATTCATATTTATTTTATAAGACTAATATTAATTTTTTGAAGCTTAAAATATAGGACCATGTGACAGTTTTAAAATCATTATAGAACCATTTTGACTGACCCAAGAGACCCAAGGTTATATAGAACCATCTTACCCTATTTTAGAGAACTTTTTGTCAAAAGTTTAGACGGACAAAATATGTGTTGGAGTATTAAATACATGATATTTTGATGATAGTAAAAAAGTATAAGATCAATTGAAAGATCAAATTATGTCTAATATCAAATATACTTAATATTAGATTAAAAATGAAAGTACACATATAATTTAAAATAATAGTATTCAATTTTCATATGATAATCTATTAAACATACTTTTGATCAATGGAAGCCATTAGTTCTACCCTTACTTTGAAATTTCAGTCAAAACTTTAGAAAATAGATCTCAAATATTTTAAAAACCCTACCCTAACCAAAACTACAATCTTTTTGCTCAAAATGAGTCAAAATTGAATAGGATGTAACAAATGTTGAATTAGATTGTTGACAACAAGAAGAAAAAATCTTAAAATTTATATATTGAGGAACAAGAGTACATGAAGTTGTATAAAAGAGAGGAAGAAAGAGAGAGAGAGAGAGAGAGAGAGAGAGAGAGAGAGAGAGAGAGAGAGAGAGAGAGAGAGAGAGAGAGAGAGAGAGAGAGAGAGAGAAAGAGAGAGGAAGAAATGAAAATAATGAAGGAAGAATAGAAACGTGGCGACCAAGTTCATTCAACACTTCCACCATCGATTTTTCAACCTAGCACTCCTCATCTACATGAATTACAACTCGTGATGCTTTTACGTGGACTACATAATTGTTCCATATTGATTTTTCATTCTTGTTGTGGACTAGCTCATCAATGAGTTACATGGAACCACAATATTCTCAAAGTTGAACCTACATTCCAGCTATCACTAGATCCTCATAATGACCTTTGGCTTGTCAAATGTCCCAACTACCTTCCAGGCCACCATGAATTGGATCTTTACACAATTTCTATGGTAATTCGTGTTAATGTTCTTTGATGACATCCTTGTCTACAGCCAGACTAACAAAGAGCACAATGACTGCCTTATCTAGGTATTCTTCACCCTACACGAACATCAATTTCACATTCACCCCAAAAAATATATATTCGTTAGACAATGATTGCATACTTGGGCCACTTGATTTCGGCAAATGACATTGTTATCGACCCAAAGAAGATCACAACAATACACTGGTGACCATCACCTACAACCTTTTGCAACATGAGGGCATTTTGATAGTTCTGGTGATCGTCACCTACTACCAAAGAAGTATTTTGATAGTTCAAGCAAGGCTTGATGACAATCTTAATGCTGGCGTTACTAGATTTCTCTACCACATTGAGCTAGTGGTAGATGCCTTTGATCGTGACGTAGGAGCCATCCTCATATAGCATCAAAAACCGATGGCCTTCTTCAGTTTGGCTCTTGCACCAACCACCTTCAAAAGCCTACTTACAAGTGCGAGCTCATCACCATCGTCCTTGTCATCTTCAAATGACGACATTATCTTTTTAGGCATGGGTTTTGAATTTTTACAAATCAATAGAGCCTGAAGTACCTCTTAGAATTGCAACATGTCCTACCGGATTGATTATCAGAAGTAGTTGACAAAAATTCTCTCACTTGATTTTGAGATATGTTTCAAACTAGGCAATGAGAACCGAGCAGCAAACATATTATCACGCACTCTCGAGTAAGTATGACTCTAGATGCTGGCCCTCCCCCGCCCAAAGCTACTTGATCTTGCTATGTTTGTTCAAGAGAATAAAGTCAACTTGTACCTTCGAAAGATCTTGGACAAATTGTCCACTAAGCTAGTAAAATGAAAACACTATTCTTTGTAACAATGTCATTTATTCCATTGCAAATGGATTGTGATCTCAATGTCATCACAACTTCTCCCAACCCTTATGCGGGAGTTCTATGATGCAGCAACATGAGGGCATTCTAGATTTCAATTGACCTACCTCTAACTCAAGCAAAACATATGTTGGTGGGAAATGAAGACGTCAATCAAACACTATATGACTTCTTGC